CTGCTACATACACACGATTCCTCACATCCCCAGCCTGATTAATATATTCCACTGTGTCCTGATCCTAGAATGAAGCTAAAAAAAAATCCCCAAATATTTACATTCTGCTTTCTTTGGATCCTTTCTCTGATCCTCATTGCCCAGCAAGGAAGAAAGACCATTTCAGTAGTTCAGGGCTGGAATGCATGGGGCTCAATCACACAAATGGTACAAACCGGTACGTGGATCTGCTTGTCCAGTTAATGGAGAGCAGGTAAGATCCAGGCGCTGGCACTTCTCCCCACTGGAGTTAAAGGAGGCAGATAAGGTTTTTTCCTTCTTCTATTTCTTCTTGCACTTTGTCACTGGATGTGGCTATTTCAGCTTGTGCCGAGAAGACTGCACAGATGAACGTCAGAATAGTGCCACCAATGGCTGTGTAGAAAGCCCAGCCCAAGGAGCAGTCTCCTAGTTTGTAAGCAGAAGCGTAAGGTCCACAATAGCTTATTGCTTTCTGACATCCCCAACCCGCAGGGTAAAGTATCAAGCCTAAAATAAGGAAGAGGCCTAGAAATAAAAACAGAAAGACAGATACTTAACAAATGGTCAGTTTAGTGGCAAATGCAACATGTAACTATCATGGTTACTGTGGTCGCCACGCAGTCCTAAGTACCAAGATCAGGAGAAGACAACTCTTCCTCGTCCATCCAGCCTTCCTTAGCTGATATGCCATGTAGTGTTTTACCTAAACTTGGAGCCACCCTGTGTTTTTTCTTGTGAAAGGCTTATTTCATATGATAACTGCCTAGTTCCTGACTTAAAACTCTGTATTTCTTCTACGTCCTTTGTTTTCCCACGTAATTGCTAGGTATACAGAATTGCAAAACAGTCAAACACCTCTACCTACTGTTTATACTTGCGCTTTTCAAATACTTAGGAATGTTTGCATCCATTTCTGAGTTTGTGTTTACCTAGCACTCATTCAGCTTTATTCAGTCATTCATCATACACATTTCTGCCTTTATTCCTCTGGATTCTTCCTACATTGATTTTCTCTCCTGGAAAGAAAGAAAAAAAAAAATCTCACACTGCATCTGCTTCTTTGGTCACGTTAGGGGACAGCAGAAAAATAACACTGCCAGGTCAGTAAGCTGCTTTTGTAACGAAGGGGTTCTGGAGTCGGCCCTACCAAACGGACGTGGGTACCTGCAGCCAGCGCGCGGGTGTCGCGGGGACCCTCCGGGCGGGCACGCGACCGATCCACATGGGCGCGTCGTGAGTGGTGCAGAAGCAAATGCCTCGACTTTCCTTCCCGTGGAGCTGCCCCAACACCCTGCTGCGCACCGGGCTGGGAGCAAAAAAGCTCAGACTGGATGTTTTGAGAGAGAGGTATCATCTCCCACAGTCATATTTCTCTCTTCTGTGAGGATGACTCTATCTAAATAGCGAAGGGCTTCATTAAGGAAATTAAGAGTCACATTAGTGTCCCTTCACACATGGTGTGTCTTTGCACAAACAAGAGATGTCATCAAAATGCCTGATGTGCTAGGGGTGACCGTGCCAAAAAAAAAAAAGAGTGGGTGAAAAACTCCTTTAAAGTATATAGGAAGGAGATAAGCAACCAGACAGCTCCTAGATATCAAAAGTTGCTGTCGTTTTGTTGTTTTTTTTTTTTTTTTCTTTCTTGAAATTTTATTCATAAGAACAAGCAGAATTATGAAAAATAGTTTTTGCTTAAACAGGAGTTCATCCAGAAAATTAATATAAGCCTTTCAGAGCCCATCAATATTACTAATTTATCTGTCCTGCACTGTAAAGCCCTTTATTCAATTGGGCACCTTGATGAAAATAGCTGGTAAAGGGTCTGCCACCTTCTAGCAGTGGGCTGAAAGTTGTGTTTTTTATGTATGGGACTGGTTCATCCATTGGATTTCATCTAATTTCAAAATTTCCACTAGGTAACAAAATAGAGAACAGTCCTCTTTTCTCCCCTATGCTAAGAGAACTCAAGAGCAGCTGTAAAGACTTGGTCACATCTTCTCCAATTCAGTTAGAGGAGCCTATTCTGCAGTACATTAGGTTTCCTTAATTGTCTGTTTAAATAAATTCAGCCAGATGCAGGAGAACTTCTGCACTGAAAGAAAAGCTGGGTCCTAGCTAGTAAGCAGTTAATATATACAAAATGCAGAAACCATCATCCAACTGTCTAAATTGATGCCTATGAATGCCAGACATTTCACAAAGGAAAGTCCTTCCTCCAGTGTTTTTCTAACGATGACACAACACCATGGGCATGAATGAACTAAATGTCATTATTCTTCGGGGCAGCAAAATCCATTAGTGAGCGATATCCGTTCTCTGTGAAGGGATTTCATCACTGCTTACATTTAAGAACCAATGACAAATTTTATGCAATGTTTCCTGGCTGAATGGTCAAACTACATTAAGTATAAAGTATTGCTTTATCTTGGACAGACCTGGATAAGCTGTCCTTTCATCCTGCTGAGCCCCACAGCCATTTCAGACTAAACACCAGCAGTTCCTTCTCCCCTATTCATCACCAGTTTCCTGTTCTGCATAACCAGCATGACCACAGCATGTATTTTTCTGACCGTACACTGGCAGGGGCCAGCTGCCATTTTCAGTGATGATCACCAGCCCGTTGGTAGTTAAAAATCACCATCATCGAATTTAAGAAGCCGGATCTGAAATGCCAGCGTAGCTGCTGCCGACAAGGAAGTTTCTCCAGTTCACCACTCCATCACTCACAAACCTGGAGAGCCCGTGTCTGACAGCAAACCCAGCTTATGGCTGAGTCACATGCAGGACCAAGAAGCTACATCCACCTCTTTTTACCAAATCTAGAGCACTGAACAACTCCTGAAAGCTACTGGTCCATGGTATGTATGCCCTAGCCTAAAAAGCCCTTACCCAAAATGCAGGCCCTCAGAAGGCTCCAGCACTGCTGTCAAGCGTAGTGATCAGGACCTTAGTGAATGAAAACTTTTCTTTTAAGAGTGCAGAATAATTCCTGAATACTGACCACAGCCCACAATTTGATAAACTACAGCTGTTTTCTCACAGATGAAAACAACATTTGGACAAAAGTCTTTACTATAGACTTGAATACTGTCAGTCTCACCTGATTTTTCCTTTACATAGCTAACTTTGTGAATCCTATACTGGCACAGCATGCTAAAAGAAAAAAAAAAAAAGTAATGTTTTCACTGCTAAACCTACCTTCTACCACTCCAATTCAGTGCAGACAAAAAGCTTCCCAGGACATGCACCTCTTCACACTATCACTAATACTTGCAATAATTTCTAATTTCATTAATATCTGGTTTCTCCTTGCTAGGAAAAGTGAAAAAAAAGATGGTTCAGTTTAGCCAATTCAGCATACCCACAACAGAAAAGCTATTTTGTGCTCTCTACCAGCAAGTGGAGAGGCACAGACTCCTCATCACACACTCAGCTCAAAGCTCCAACACCTGGAGCAATGGCTGAGCTGTGCAGGCTATCAAGATCCCTTCCTGACTCTCCTTACCTGCCCAAAAAGGGGCACTCAAACGAAAAGATCAAGAGGAGCTTTGCCTCCTGCTTCCCATTAACTACAAAAGAGACAGTCACAGGCTCCAGAGCTCATCCTAATGGCTCCTACAGCTTTAACAAAATAGACAGAAGACACTTTACTGCCTTCCAGCAGAGGAAACCACGGGCTAAAGCAGCAGCCAGCAATCCAAAGCACTTGGATTGTCCAGAGCAGTAGCTTCCAGAGACACCCAAAAAAGAACCACCTCTCTGCTCCTGGGAAAATGGACGCAGAGGGAAGGGAAAGGATGGAAAAATGCCTGTATGGAAAGAACACAGTAAGAACAGGAGTAGCAAGGGTGGGAGAGGCAGAAGTCACGGTCTGTTTTTTAACAGATGAAACAGTTAAATGCAGTACAAACAGCTCAGCAGCCTCTGTGCTTTTCCACCTTTGGCCTAAGAAGCAGTGCACAACCACTTTATGCAACACAAAAAAGCCAGCGGGCTTTTCCTACAGCTAATAGTATAGCCTTGATCTACATCTAACACACATTCAAGCAGCCGCAGTTGAGCAAAAACCACTTACAGGTCAGTCTGCGGTGAGACAATCCACAGGAGAAAAAAACATGCTAACTTTTTAGTGCTGACTTCTCATATCAACATCCACAGGGTAAAGCCTGGCCAGGTCCCTTTCATCTCTGCTTCTTTGACAGAAGTTTAAGCTTAAGAGCCTACAGCCCTTCCTTTCTGTATCTGCTGCTCCATCCCTGAGGCTTCAACTGACTGCAGCTCTCTCATTTTGGTTATTTATTTGCACTAGTACAGAGCCTGGCACCTCTCTTCACAGTGCCTGCCTGCAATAGCAGACAATCTGCTTTTCAGACACGAGACGCGGAGGTGTGGCACAAGGCACGAGCGAGATAACCCCCAGCAGCCTGCTGGCAAGGCAGATCCTCCATCAGATCCAGCGCCTGCTGGTTACCAAGCTTTTCTGCAACAACGGTCTTAATAAAAATGTCAAAGGAAGAGAAACGGGTTTTCAGTTGCTTGCAAACAGGAAAAAGCAGCATGAGGGTGGATGGCTTTGTCTTCCGGAGCCTGTGGGGGCAAGGCACAGGAGGGCACTGATGGGCTGAACGAAGCCAGGAGCAAAGTGTCTTGCCAGCAAAAGAAATATGGTGGAGAGCATGGCCTGGAGCTTACAAGGGGCTGGAAGGAAAGCAAAGTGCCTTATCCCTGGCACTCATTTATACTCGGAGCATGCAAGAACACGAGACCAGCTCCTAGTACAATCTACAGATTTGTGTATAAAAGCTGGTCTCTGGATTAATTAACTATTATAAATCGCAGGTTTCTTGAATTTGATTTAGTTATTCTTACACTTGACTCACTCAAATATCGCTTCTGTATTTAACCTTTATTGTGTGGCTTCCTAAGCCATTTAACGCTGCAAATTAAGGTTCAAGTACTTAGGCTTTTGTTAGCCATAGAAATACAAAGCGCAGTTTGGTGTTGTATAATTTTATGTCAGCACAATCTGATAAAGCAACAATTACCTCCTGTCAACAGTCTGCCTTGAGACGTATCTGGCAGGAGGACAGTAAATATTAATAATAGATACTTCTTTTTCTTAATAAACCAGTTTTTGCTCTTGTCCCAGTGTTTTGAAGAGAAGCCAGCCTTCAAGAGGAAGAACAGAGAACAAAAATCGCATGCTCTGTCTGAACAAAACTTTTCTGCAACGAATCCTTTCAGTTCTCCATGCTGCTGTACAGTAAATGAGGGGTTTAATTCACAGACAGTCTACCTGTGGAACTATTGCTGTTTGTTCCGCCTGCTGGGAGGACCAAATTAATTTTGAAAACCTTACATCTGTTTTCCACTGTGCTCCTCTCCAGGCTCACAGAGTTCAGGCTTGCTCTGTTCTAGATTTAACCCCCTCTTCTGAGCACAGCTGCACTGCAAGACTGCACAAAAAGTCTTGTTCCTACTTAATTAGCTCTATGCCAATTCTTCAAATCACGACAACAATTTTT